GTGCCTAATTGCATTTATTGGCCATGCCTGGCACCTCCTAATCCAGGATTATGATGATGCATTATCAGCTGTGACTGGCTGTTTACAAGGCATTTATTAGCCGGTGTCAACATAACGAGACAAATTCCACCTATCACATTAATCACCCCACTGCCAGGACTATGTCACAGCCAAGAGCAGAGCCGGATGACGCATCGGCTAAGGCTGTGCTGAGGCTGCTTCTTATTTTCTTGCATTAGCCATTGTTATACGGCAATCAGATTGGCTCCTCAGTAGCTGTCAGCCTAGCAGTGTGATGTTGACGTGAAACTTGGAGTGAATAAAGAGAAAGGAGTTGTGGGGGGGAAGATAACAGGAGAAGAATTGTGGGATCAAATGCACGCTTGAGTGCATGAAAGCACAAAAACAATTTTCCCCACATAATGCTTCTAATTGAAGTCGGGTCACTTAATTACAGCCTGAGTATTGTTTACTGTGAACCCATCTCCTTTTCCTTTTTCACTGTCCATCTGTCAATTTCCCCTCACTCTGCCTATCACGTCTTTTCTTTCTCCACTGCCACAACAATAAACAAAATCCAAACACTGTTTGAGTAAAACACTGCAAAATAAAAAAATGTGAAGATGGTTTCATATATGATGTTTTGTAATTGATATAAACCTAATTCATACTGATGCATCTTTGCTGTATTTTTTTTATTACAGAGTGGACGTAAACACCTTGGCAAATGAACAATATGCATATTACAATATCTTTAATTACATTTAATTAGGCTTTGATTAAAGCTTTGATTAATATTGAATGACTAGGAAGTCTAACAATTTAATGTTTTAGTCACACAGAGGCACAAAGAGCTGCAGGGTGAGAGATGCTCACTTTATTCTGCACAGGGTTGAAGCAGGTGAGGCATTGATTTCTTCCCTGTTCGAGAGTTCCCCAAAAGTGATGTGCTGCAATTAAAGAAGAGTCTGTAGGACACACCTGACAAAACCATTTGAGAAATGGCAGCAGAGACTGTCCCGCTGGCCTTGCCTTAATAGGAGAATCCCTTTATATATATTGCATTTTGTACAGACACACAGGAATCATCAGCCAGATCACCTCTTGCCCTGTAAACACTTTATCTGAGGGATTCTCTGATTCCATTTTAAGAGCAATGTCTTGTCTCAGGGTTTGTGTCAACATCACTCCTCCAATTCTCCGGTCTATCAGGATCTGCTGGACTTTGACACATTGACATTGTCAGCTAGGAATGCTGAAGATCGCCTGCAAGCTCAAAGTATTGTAGTTTTCTCTCCTCAAACCAGATTAGAAAAAGAAACAGAAAAAGATTTTAAAATAATTCTACTTCATTGAGATTATATACCAGATTTTTATATTTGAGTACATATATATATCTAAGGGGTTTGTAAGTGATAAGTTTAAAAAAGGATACCGATATGAACAGATCTGAACAATCAGTACAGGCACATAAATGAACACAGAGTTCTTTCATGCACTTACACAATGAAACTGATGAGCCGGTGGAACTGCTTCATCTTGCATTTTATTACTGCTAAACAGTTGACTTATTACCTCCAAATTTTACACATCATATCATGCTTTTGTCAATTGCTTTTACAAGAAGTGGTGGGACCAGATTGTAAAATGCACGCTCTGTGGCTCCTGAAACGAGTGTGCTTTAGTGATAAGGGCCAGCTGAGAGGACAGGAGATACGGCACAATGCCACGGCACATCTCCCAGCAGGAGCTGTTTCACTGTGCAGTAGTCTGGCTTATATAATTCTGATGGGGTTGGCTGGCACCTTACAGTTCACCTACTGCTGCTTAAGTGTGACCACAGGGGCCACCTCTGTGGCTACAGTTAGAATGTCCTCTGACAAATGTGCACAAACAGATAGACATGGAGACATGCCTCATGAGGGAAGAGGATCAAATTACAGCCAGGTAACAAACAGCCGCAGAGTTGACTTTTGTTTTGGCACATTGTACATGGCTTCATTTGCATGCCACCCTTCCCTGATTAATGCTGAATCATGATATTGAGATAAAAGCAATAGGTGGAGCGCGCCAATGTTAACTAGCCTCCAACTCGTCCCCCTTTCCTTGGGAACAGCTCCCTGCCATCTGTCAGTATTGGAAAGCCCTGGTGGTTTGCAGTAGGGTTTTCCAAAACTACATACATGGCTGCTTTATTCTGTCAGAGACTCTGCTATGCATGAACCTTCAGCCATAACCAGCCACTGGGCTAGAAAACAGTGTCAGCTTAGCCAAAGCCTCATTGACACCCATGAAAAATCTCCCTAAGTAGTCTTATTGACCCAGGACATAATCAGATGGTGGCCTGTACGCTGGCCAGAAAGAGACACAGTAAAGTTAAGAAAGTTCTACCACCAATGAAGCCACTTAAATCTAATTGGACAATGTTTAGCTAAGTGCTATTTAATTGCCTGACTCCTCACTGCATCTTTCATGCAACTCTGTGCCACAAACAAACATACCACAGCGTTGGCAGGGTCTCCTCATTAGTTATTCATGGCTTCATTTGCTTCATATCTCAGCTCGTTCTTTTCAATGCAACATCCAAGCCAAGACTTGTTAGTACAGCTTGCTCCTGCACTGACAGAGAGATGAAAAAAGTGTTTTCAGACAAAATCAATCTTGTGGCCTCTTTGTATGATGTCATGAAAGTCTGAGTCATTTCCTGTAGCTGTCTCACCTCTGATACCTTGTGTTTGCAAACCCCTAGTCCTAATAAGCTTTGTGGCGTGTTCATAAATCAGATGCATGTCTCCCTTAACGGGTACATGATGATTAAAACCATGTATGATTAAAAAATCTTGTTCAGTTAATCTCAGGAGTACTCAGTTAAATCAACCCATCTTGTCCAAGACATAAGGGACATGCCTCGACAACGTCACTTTACCACTGTCAGAAATAGGCCACAGGAACAGAGGGCACAGAAAAGAAAGTGAAAGACTGGAGTTGAAACGTTGACATGGCTCCTGGTGCGGCTTCAGGTCATGGACCAGCTGTGACTGAGAACTCCAAGGTTCTTTGACTTTGACCGACAGCAGATTGGGTGGACAAGGACGATTCTGGAGCACACGGGGCTTTAGTGTGTAGCCTACTTATATAGTAGAAGAAGTTGTTAAGGATGTTTACAAAAGGGGGGGGGGGGAGCAATTTATAAGTTCCCTTTCTTCTCATTATGATAATTCCCATCAACATGATGAGCTACCTTATGCATCTTAACAAAACCTTTTAAAGCAGTAAATATATTTCAAAAGTTGAAATGTGTTTTTAAAAGTTTGTGTCTGTGTTTTTGGACTTGACTATGATTTGGCAGCTGGGGAGGGGGCTAAGTACCAAACATGTGACAACTAATAACTAATATTACTAAATAAATTGATATTAAATTATCTCTGTTGTATAGTTGAAATGAAAGCCACTAAAAATACAATGCAAGCACAATTATTTCCATGCAGCTCTACAGGACAAAACTAATATATAGCAACATAAAGAACTCCACGACTGCCACAAACAGACACGATCCAAATCCCACAAAGTACCCACAAAACCATCTGTGGCTTTACAAAATATTTCTACTATGATTAAAAAACCTGATTGCAATATTTCAGTTGAATACTTTATGCTTACTAGCTTTTGGTTCTATCTCTAGCTTAAATTAGCCCAAGGCACTTAACACATGACATAAATAACCGACTTTCAGAGCACAAAGCTAACTAACAGTATAAAATGCTGCTTGTTCAGACAGACGGCTCTTACCTTCACCTGCCACATCAAAGGTCATTTGACCAACATGTGAGGCAACATCATAACATTTTTTTACTTTAGCACTCCAAAAGCTCAATGATGTGTGTCCAGTCTATAGATATTACTACAAATAGCAAGCAGACAGAAGTGATTTTGTTTTCTCTTCTTTTTCACAATGCTAAAATATAAGGATTTAGAATATTTCTGTCTCAGTGTAATCATATTACTCCCTATTTATGCAATACACAACTAATGCTAAAACGTATATGATGTACACATAAGCACGGGTACATTTTAGCCACCAGAACCTTGATCTCGACTTACAAGCATAATCAATGGCAAACCTGAGAGCAGAGACAGAGACCAAACAGGAGGCTCTGAGAACATGTGCATTGGTAAATGTTGGCATTAAGTGCCATCTAGTGGTTAGTAGTCCTACTGGCTTTTCAAGAAAACAGAACTGGGAACAATAGGAATCCAAACTCCTTAATTTTGTGGACTTTTAATAGAAAATACATGATTGTAGAAAGATACATGTGTGTACTTTTATTACCATTTACTGATAATGACTCATTTTTTAAAACTCTGTAACATAGCCTTACATTCGTTTCTCTGTTGAGGACGCCTTGTCTGGTTTTCAAATGTGGGATGGAGATAAATTGAAAAGTATATGAATATGAAAAGGTAAGCCTACTTACCTTTCTTGGGATGCAATTGAGTCTGAATTTCAGTTAAAGATTATTTTCCAAATCGTTTAGATTATCTTAGTACTTCGGAAATGTGCAGCCCAAGTTACATGCCTTGTCCATAAAACGCTACGCCTAACTTTGAGTGAAAAACCCAACAAAACCATGTCTGTTACATTTGGGGAAATATTACATTGTGATTAAAACACTTTGCTTACTTGCAACCTTTCTCAAGAAGAGGGGGCTCGTCTTTTGTCCATGTGGCATTCATGTGCATGTGTGGGAAAAAAAAAAACATTGTTTTGCTACGAGTTTGGTAAATAACTGAGAGTTAAGTTATTACTGCATAGATCCACAGTCCAAATTGTATTTTTTTTATACTGGGGTAAGATGCTGAAGTGTTAATTTTACATATCCAGGAATTTACAGAATAATATTGCTATTCATTTAACATGTGTTTTTTTCAAATTGCGAGCAGGAAAAAAAAGGCAAGGTGAAAGATACACCGAGCAGCACCTGAAGGCATCACGGAAGGAGGGAGGGAGGAAGCTCTGCGCCGGGCTGCTGCATGAACACACCGAGCACCGAGCACACCCTGCCACCGGGCTAGTCGGTGTTAACGAGCACAAACATGTCGGGAAAGAGTTTCCGAGTAAGCGACGGGGACTGGATCTGTCCTGATAAGAAGTAAGTGCTCCACATGTATGAAAAAGGTTCCGAATTTAAAATGTTTACGAGTTAAAATAAGGCAGATGTGTTTGCTTTTAATTGGTTGTTCGTGCTAACAGCAGTTAGCTTAGGCCTAGATGTTGTTCACGCTAACGTTGACTAGCAGCTAAGTAACTTAACAAGATGACTTCTATCATATTTATATGCTTTAATACCCTGTTAACAACATAAATACGTAGTTTGAATTGTACCTAAGGGTGAGCACTATATGGGTTCAGCGGTGAGGGTGTCAATGTGCGGACTTACCAGCTAGTTAGCTTTAGTTAGCGGCCGTAGGCTCGGGGTGAAGTCCTCCCCACATATTAGTGGAGGTGGTGTTGTTCACCATGCAGCAGAGGCCAAGGTCTTGTGAGTCTAGTGTTTTGCGTAGTTAGCAATATCATGTTGCTTATGTGGAGCTGCATCAAAAACGTCAGCAGCAGCAGCAGCAGTGTGTGGCCTCCTCCACACAACGTGAAGACAACAAGCTCATGTCGTGGCACATGATGACACACACATACACTTGCATTGCTTTTAATATTCTCAGAGTATGCCTGATAGGTAAGTGAGAAGCACAAGTCTCATATGCATTTGTTATATGCTTATTTTTCTGCGCTTTTTTTTTTTAAGGTGTGGAAACGTGAACTTTGCAAGAAGAACTAGTTGTAACAGATGTGGACGAGGTAAGTCTCTCTATGTGCAAAACTTCAATGAAAATATGAAAACAGCATAACCAATGATCCTTGTCCCCCCCACAGAGAAAACCACAGAGGCAAAGATGATGAAAGCAGGAGGAACAGAGATTGGGAAAACTCTGGCGGAAAAGAGTAGAGGCCTCTTCAGTGCAAATGATTGGCAATGCAAAACGTAAGTGTGTTGACTCTTGACTTCCAAGGGATTTCTTCTAATGGAGGGAAATGAACCTCTCAGACAATCGTTCTTCTCCCCTTTTGTTCTCCTACAGATGTGGCAATGTGAATTGGGCAAGGAGGTCAGAGTGCAACATGTGTAACACACCAAAATATGCCAAGCTTGAGGAGAGGACAGGTACCCGAGCGGTTGTATATTTTGCAATATTTTGGTGTTTTTTTTTTTTAATACTGGCTATAGATTGTTTGTTATTTTATCTCTGTTGCATCTAAGGTTATGGTGGAGGCTTCAATGAAAGGGAGAATGTTGAATACATTGAACGGGAGGAATCTGATGGGGAATATGATGAAGTGAGTCCTACCGAAGAGTCTCATTTTCGATAGATAAAGCATGTTATTTGCTGCAAGTCATGTGTTTGCATCTGGCAAGGAAATATCAATTTGTCCTAGAACAGTAAAACCAGTCTGCTTGTTTAGAGGTGATTATTGCTGATGACGAATGCATTTTCTCTTTATTGTCAAAGTTTGGTAGGAAAAAGAAAAAGTTTCGTGGCAAAACATCAAGCACGTCTTCATCAAAAGAAAGTGAGAAGAAAGAAGTAGTGAAAGCTGTAGCTGATGATGAGGAAGAAGAAGAGGATGAGGAAGATGGTGGTGACCTTTCCAAATACAAATTGGATGTAAGATTGCCAACTGGAGCTCCAAATCTAAAGGACACATTTTATAACACAGGCCAATAACAATGATATATTAATAAAAATGCTTCCTCTCCAGGATGATGATGACGACGAAGAAGAAGATGGAGACCTGTCAAAGTATGACCTGGTTGCCAGTGAAGATGAAGACATGCCAGCCAAGAAAAAGGGCAGCCGCTCTGGCTCGTCCCGGTCCCGCTCATCCTCGCGCTCCTCCAGCTCCAGTTCTCGGTCGAGGTCCAGGTAAAAGGGTACAGGTCAAGGGTAACTCCGGGCAAAATGTCTGTATCAGCTCAATCTTCCTTCTGATTTATTGATCAAAGTCAATATCATGTGCTGCTCTGCTGATATGTTGTTTTCTCCTCTCTCAGCCCTGTTTCTGTTTGTGGTATTAGAAACTCCATGTGCAGACATTATTTGATTTTTTTGTTTAGCATTTTACTTGAATTACTTTACATAGACAGAATACAACGCTCGTATTGTAGTTTTGAAATTCACTAATTGGCTGTTAGTTGTCTTTATATTTTGGGTTTTTCCATAAAACCTTCATACCTAAATGTTTGACTAGTTGCCCATCCGATATGCTATACAGTCAGTGAAGAATATGTATATCAAAGTACTTAGCAAGATTTAAATACTTATAAATGTCACGCCTTCTTTGTCTTGTGTGTGAACCATCTAGTCAATCTTTTTTGTTTAGAAGTATTGGAAAGGTTCTGTTTTGTTTTTCAGGTCCGGCTCTAGAAGCTCATCCAGCTCCAGATCTGGATCTCGCTCGAGGTCCCACTCCAGGTGAATGAGGTGACATGCACTCTCTCCCTTAGAGAGTGTATGTGTGGAGCAGAAAGCTCCTAAACAGCCCTACTCCTAAGATTACGCTTTACCGCAGACTGGATGGTGCTTTCTCCACTAGTCTTGTTTTGTTAGAATACAGATGGTAATTTGGGTCTGAAATTGCAAGTCAAACTCTTAAAAGTGCTTTGATGGTTTTCAGTCTCTTGATGTAGGGTTTTTCTTTTTCAATAAGGCCCAAGAGTATAAAAATATAGTTTAGTTACATGAATTGAGTTTATAAATGACCAAGTCTGTAAGTCTGAGTAGACTATTAGGATCTCATGAGTGGTGCTGGCTTTGCCCATCTTGTACCTTTCAGTACATCCAACAGGAAATACACATTGCATTGAGGACATGTCATTCTTTGAGCATTACAGATTCTTGGGTTAAAATGTCATAGTAAAGTGCTCGTAATCAGAGAAGCTTGATTAGTTACCCACGCAGGTGAGATTCTGTTCTGACCTTACTGACCCCAGTGCTTGGTTTATTCCTCCAAAAGATCCAGCTCCAGGTCTGGCAAGGGCTCCTCTCCCAAGAAGAGGTCCCGCTCCCCTTCCTCCTCACCTGAGAGGGGACAGAAGCGCAGTCGCTCCAGGTCCTCATCTGGAGAGAGAAAGAGGAGGCGCTCTAGATCACGTTCGTCCGAAAGGTTTGGGTTTCTGTGGAATACCACATGGCACTGATTATTATTAGCCATCTGTCGCCTCGCTTATGGGAATTCAGATTTTGCCTTGTTAGGTTTTCTCTTTAAATACATGTTATGACCTTGTTATTGTTTAAAGTAAGCAGTAGAATTCTTACAGCTCAACCAGCTGACCTCCTTCTTCTTCCCCTGGTGTTTTTGTGATTTCAGGTGCCGCGGACAATCCTCTGGATCCTCCCATTCTGGCTCCAGTTCAAAAAAGAAATAATTGTATTACAGCCTTTCAAACAAGAAAAGAAAGCATATTACAAGTGCATGTTGTGTTGCAAGGACTACAACCACCACCTTTCAGTATGATGTTCATTTCCACTGAAAAGTCTTACTTCCCTCAGAAAAGACAGCGGCAGCCGTACTTATCATTACATGCTTCCTTTTAAAACCACATCCACCCCAGTCCTTGACAAGTCTCTATAACCACAGGTGTCCAATAAATGTAAATGTTTGGTCCTGTAAGAATATCAGAAACTGTGAAGAGGCTGTGCCCTATTTTAAACCCTATTGCTGAAGTCTTCGTGGCGCTACATCATTTAAGTCTACTTGTCTCTGGAGAAAATGAGTGAAACATTTTTTTTTCCTTTTGTTCTGTTCATTTCTTTTACAAACTAATTCTTCACTTTTTTTTTAAATAATAGGAAAACGCCATTTAGCATCAATTTAGAATACCTGGAGTGTAGCAGTGAGATCTGGTCCACTTGTTTTTATTTTCTTGGTAAATATAATTTTTTTTTTTTTCAAGGTAAGTATTGACTTTTGATATTGCTTGTTTTAGTCATTGATAGTCCAACATTCTTTGGTTAAGGTTTAGATCCTTTACTCTGCACAGTTGTCGCCTGCTTCACCACTCAAAGTTAGTCCCTTATTGTCACACGGACAACTGATGAATTCAAGAACTTACAGATTTTCGTGTTCCAGATTGGGTCATAAAAATAAGTAAAATACAGTGTCTGGATTTATGGTAAAACGTGATAAAACAACACATATGTACAATGTAAATAAAATCCTGTCAACATTGTTTCTTGTTAATTGACTTTGATTCGTCGAAGACAAGTCTGGGGAATTTTTTAGACACCCGATATATTGAATTAGAAGTTCTGCGGTGTTAATTCTGGTTTATAAAAACTAGGATGATGAATGTCAGTGTTGGCTTTTTCAACAGCTGTTCTCCTGTAAAGGATGAAATTACACTTAATATCACTTAAAATGTGATATTTCTAATATAAGGCTATTAATACACCTCCCTAACAGGGAACACATTTGTGTCAGAACCTACCTACCATAAATGATCATGTGAAGTTAAATGATGCTTCCTGTATCTATTGTGCATTTTTGATCTCTCCACATACACAAAAACGCAGGGTTATTTTGGCCATTTCAGATTTGTTGGACGACACTGATCCAGTATTTTGTCTTTGTTTGGCCGCAGATTAAATATTTTGACAGCTAGTTCCTCGTATAAAAATAAATAACTTCAGAAGAAGGTCCAATGTACAGTCTGACCGACTGTAGAATGACATCTGATGAAGTCTTAAGTATTAATCACAAGTTATTATTAAAGGCCTTAATTAACATATGTAAATCTTTAGTAGCCGGTCGAGCCAAACTGAGGCAGGGCCCCATACCTCACATTTTGATGATGCTATTCTGATTCTGGTCAACAGGTGGCACTTGTCGCTCCAGAGGTTATCAGACTAAAAACAACGATTAGGAGTAGAGTACCGTCCCCACTAGCTGCTACCGTCAGGGTGCGAAACAAAATTTCACGGACTGCATTCAAACAGTGAAGTGATTCAACACTTTTTTGTTGTCTTTAAATCGACAGGCTGCTGAATGTCCGGACAATCCTTTACCCACTTCCCCGTTTTTTTGTTGATAAGAGTCGCTAATATAATATTTTTATACAATATAAATGCTACAGGTTACTAAATTAACCAACATGCCAATACTGCCAAAATATTAAACAACTACCTTAATCAGTATCTAGTCACGCCTCGTATCAGTTAAAAACATCCATAATATATGTTCCGTTTTAATGTGGATTTCCTCATAATCGACACAAACTCAACGGGGCCTGATTATTTATCCAACTTGAATTCACCATAGTACCATAAGAACAATATTTCACTGCTTTCCTTTCTCCACCAGAGGCTCAAATCTGCAGGTTTGTCAATCCCCCAACCTGTTCGCTATACAGTTGCCTTTATGCTCGGTCACTTTTGGTGATTATTTGAGTTTGTCTCGTTGGGGTTCGAAACAAGTTTACAAGTATCGTATTTCCATTTTTAAAATTTTAGATTAAGTAAAATCATCTTGAGGCAGGCATTTCATGCTTCCTCGGGGCTCCTTTGTAGTCCCTCCTACAGCGCGTAAAGGATCCTGACGCGCTTTTACGCACTGCATTCAGTTGGATCAGTTTGTGGCGCAAGAGGATGCTGGGCATATACTTAAGTAGGCTCTTCATATTGGCTTACCCTGTCCGAAAGGATGACCACAGACGGCTGTGATTCTATGGAGGGCTCTCCAACCATTATTGAAGCGATGCTGGGCTCCAACTTCTCCAAGTCATTGCACGAAAGCAATGTCACCAAAAATTCCAGCTGTGGATCTGTATCCGTTGGTTTCCCTATAGCTATGATGGTCACTGGCATGGTGGGCAACACATTAGCTATCATTCTGGTTTATATCTCTTACAGGAAAAAGGAGAATAAAAGGAAAAAGTCTTTCTTGCTTTGCATTGGATCGTTGGCATTAACTGACCTGTTTGGACAGCTTTTAACGAGTCCAATAGTTATTTCAGTTTACCGAGCCGATCTGAAATGGGGGCGCATCGACCCTTCTGGACATTTGTGCGCTTTTTTCGGTGTGTGTATGACAACTTTCGGACTGTGCGCTCTCTTCTTGGCCAGCGCCATGGCAATTGAAAGGGCTATGGCGATAACGAACCCTCATTGGTACTCCAATAACATGAAGACAAGTGTAACAAAGCAGACTCTGGCTGTCATTTGGTGTCTTGTGCTTCTCTTTGCGCTGCTGCCCGTCGCAGGGGTCGGGAAATACACGCGCCAGTGGCCGGGCACCTGGTGCTTCATCAGCACAGGGGACCGAGAAGTACCGGGCAACATGTTTTTCGCCATCACTTTCGCTGTACTTGGGATTTTCTCTCTCCTTGTGACACTTTCTTGTAATGTGGTGACGATCCGTGGCTTAATTATCCGGTGTAAAACTAAGTCTGGGACGTCTCAGTCTTCAAAACAGTGGGAACGGCTCACCACGGAGACAGTCATTCAGCTGTTGGGGATTATGTGCGTCCTGCTCATATGCTGGTCTCCACTGCTGGTATGTTTACACTACCAATATTTTTACTAGAGCACAATGAGAATAGTAACCATGTGAAATTAAGAATATAATGCAACATACTGTATCTCCAAATGTTTTCTAAAGATGATAAGTGTGAAAGTCTGGTCCTTCACACACCCGTTCTGCAGCAGATTGTGAAACTGTCCCTCAGTGGTGTTCGGCTGTGGAAACTGTGTACTCTTGTTATATATTTTAGATAAAGATCCCAGTATGATAAAGTTTAAGGTTTATAATTTAATTGGAGACTTTATACTGCATCATGCTTTTCACTAAGAGCTGCAGATCCCTGGAGAGGTTTTATCTTCTGTTGATTTCCATGTTCTTCCAAATCCATCCTTCAATCAGTCATCCTCCTTTACTCTATTTCCTTCCCTCTGACCACCAACAATAAACCATATTAGCAGTTCAGGGCTGCCATGTATGACCCTTTTGAAACACTGCTGCCATTTTCCATTACGAGAAATCTACTTTGCCAGGTCCTGTTTGAGGAGACTGCTCAGTGTGAGGTCATGCTTTGTCAGTCACATATTTAATAGTCCCACAAAGGATATTAATAGAAGCCACAGCAGCATGGTTGCAGTGATAGCATAGGGTGAGAAGCTTGAGTGTGAATGTAATGTTTTCTACTGGTTGTTTGATACTGTAGCCGCTCAGGAGTGTCTTGGTTTGTCAAGTAAAATATTACATTTTGAAGGAGATTGGCCAGAAAAACCAAATCTACGACCTGTCAGACAATTAGGGAACATTGAACATAAACCTCTGAATGGCTTTCTCAGCTCTACATTTCATTGATAGAACACACAAAATGTCATCTTAGCCTATACAGGCCCTGTTTATTATTAACCACATGTTGACGCAACATGTTCCTACTTCCCTCCAAGGTTCTTATGCTGAGGATGATCTCCACCCAGGTATCCTCCCACGAGTGCAATTCAACAGCAGTGACCTCCAATAACACCTCCGGCCGCGACATCCACTTGGACTGCAACTTTTTCCTGACAGCCATCCGCCTGGCTTCCCTTAACCAGATCCTGGACCCGTGGGTGTATCTGCTACTCAGAGAGATCCTCCTACGCAAGTTCTGCCTGGTGGCTAGTGCAGTGTCTAACTGCTCCGTGGAGGAGCATAAGGAAACCCCGACAGCTATGGACGCTCTAAATAAGCCAAACCAAGACAGAAAACCACAAAGTAGCTAAGGCAATGTTAGACAGGAAGTACTTCATTGTGGCCAAGTCCTGGCCATATTGGATATATATGTGAAATGAAAAACATCGGATTGGATATGTTGCGTGAAAAAAATAGAAGTTTGTTTTTTCCCTCACTTCATCCGCCGAAAGACTTTGTGCAATTGGAGAATAGAGCATGGACTGTTACACTGTTAAAGCAAAGCAGCAGAGTGTGCTCTGGGTGCTTTTGTTTTGCTTAAGCATACATATTCCATGTGGATGCATGACTGTGTCATTCAGCCGCAGACTGGCTGCCAGAAACTCTCTCATTACTAGTTTCACTTTTAATCATATCACCAACGTGCAAGAACTGAATAAGGGACACTCTCAACTTACTCAGTTTGAAAGTGGGGCATCTGTTGCTCTCTGAATTTGGATTTCAAATTATTTGAAGCCATAACACACCTGAAGGACACCTTTTTGTGAATTTCTGTAAATAAAGAAATAAACTGTATGTTGCTTACATTAAGTTGTAAATATATTTGACAGGAAATGTTACGGATGTGTTTTAAAAAGATGGCTGGTCATTTCAAAGGGACATCCGAAATCCTTAACTGGAGCCAGCCTTTGATTGTAAGATTATTTATTAGTGTAAAAAGTTAATTTGAGGTAGTTGTTTCTGTGCTGAATGCTGATTGTGTACAAATTAAACTAAACTATACATATAACATCAGCTAGCAGAAAAGACTGTGAGATGTGAAGCTTTAATTTCAGCATTTCTTAGTGTTCAGAATAACTTCAATTCTGTACATAATGTGAAAGTGTTTACGGGAAAAGGAAAACGATTTTTGAGGTTTAAAATGACGAGATCACAGATGTCGGAGTGGTCTGATACTGAAGTGTCAGAGCTCTAGCCATCATTGTCTAAGAATCATTGAGCAACCCTTGCTTGTTATTGCTGAAATGTATTCTTGTTCTGTAAGTTTACAGTGTTATGACAAGTGTATCAAACTTCACCAGCCAAGAGTCTTCTGGAGAAAACTGATATTTGTAGACTCTTTAGTTCACTGGAATAAATGAGAGCAGAGAGAAAGTAGTGTGCTGTACAAGTGCAAGGCTGATGAGCAAAAAATAAAATGGATTGAAGAAAATCAAATCCAAACAGCCTAAAATACAGACGACAAAAAAGTAAAAGATCAGAAAGCTTTTTTGGCACTGACGCTGCTTGTGTGACTGCTGCAAACAATGTGTCTGTACAAGCTCGTTCACAAGTGTTGGGTGTTTTACAGCCACATAAATTAAATCTTTTATTTTTTTGATAATTGCCTCAGACATGTACGTCTTTGTATTTCATCCTTTGACCAGTCAAATCATATCCCTGAAGCCTCAGTACTACCTCTTAATAGAGGTAAATATTAACACACATTTAATGTGTACAGCTTCTCAGAGGTCTCAGATGAAAGTCCTTTTTAATGAAGGGGTTTACTTTAGCCCCAAATGACCAGATATCATAGTACTGCCATATACAACTGCAATTCATCCCTTTTACAGTGATATGTGTTTTTTTTTTTTTAATCCTTTCCTATGAGGCAATATCTCGTTCTTGGACATACTTTAAACACGTTTGAACTGTATCAGTCAAAGACATGTCAAGGATGGTCAAATTAGCTCTAAATGGCAGGACAATTTGTCACACAAACACAAATCTGCCTTCTCAGCACTTCAGCCAACAAGATTAGACTTCTATACCCTCTGCCTTTGTCCAGTTATGCCTTTGCCTTTCTAATGTGAGAATGCAAACATGCTTGATGATGATTAACAGGAAATTGTTACGCGCAAAGGCCCTTGGAAAGATGAACGTTTCCTGTTTTCATGCTATTCTTGAATTGATTGTGACGCTATTTCTGCCTTTGAAGCCAACTTTAATGATTAAACCTTAAGCTTAAATACGTCAGTGGAAACAACATTGTGAAAAGAAAGGAAACAAAACATAAGCTTGAATCTCTTGCAGCCATTAATTTGCCATTACAAGTGATCATTTTGTATTACCAGCTATACATCTGAAATGATGTATACATACTTGCTTCTTATTAACATACACACTGGAGCCTAATGTATCCCTCAACTATCAAGTTCCTTAATGTCATAAGCACTGACAAATAATGAGTTTAATGAATGCATCCCTGATTAAGCCTGTGACTGTGCATAACGAGATGTTATTCCATGCACATTATCACCTTGTGCCACAGTTAATACACAATTGAACAGAAACATCTTGGGTTTAATCCATGCATTTAAAAAAAAAGATTACATCCATTTGCAAGTTTCAGTATGGTTGTAGGGAGCATATGAAGCAGTCAGCCTCCACTTGAATGTGTGACATGTAATTATCTCAGCTTTCTGTCCACGAGACTTTGATGCTTCCTGCTCTTCAGTCAAGAAGTAATTACACAAGCGACTCCCCCCTTACTCCTACAGGCTCTACATGCAATTGTGAATAATCTCGGGTGCTATATCACACACAACCACCACTCTGTGTAGGACACTGGCAGAATAATATGTCGGTCTTTGCGAATAGAAAATTTGATACATTTCCACCCTCATTAATGGAGCCAGTAAAAGCCTACACAATGTTAAAACTGGGAGTGCTTCCCCCGATTCTGCAGTAATGATATATGAATGTCCATCAGAACCAGGGGAGCTACACAGTAATATGATACGATAGTATGTGCAAACTCCAGTTTATTGATCCACAAGGTGCAATCTTCAAAGGCACAATTATGGCGTTAATGTTGGCTTCATTAAAAGGTGTGTCACAATTGAATTTGCCCTCTGCTACAAACATGCTGTTGCACTCTTCATCTTAAATTAACACAGGAGCCTCTTATAGAAACAACAAAATGAATGCTGTTGAATATTTGATTGCCAGGACTTCCGCGTTGTTTTTGCACACGTGCTTGAGGAATAAGCCATTTCAGCAGGCACTCCCTGCACCAGCATGGCAGCGAGTGTACAATTACATAATGGTTTAAAAAACAGGCTTCATGAGGTCTGGAGAATCCGGTTCTGCCAGCTGGCTTCATCTCTCTCACTCAAGTCACTAATGCATGGAAGTGATTTACTGATTGCCTCAGGAGCTGCACAGACACTTGTTATCTGGCGATTTCTAGACAAGGAGAGTATTTTTGGGCTAAAAATGTTTGTTCAATTGATAAATTCATGATTTATTCAAATACAGAAAAAACATTTTCCATGTGTTTATTCTAAATCTCTATTAAATAAGTTATTTCTTAACATTTTCCCTACAGTATTTAGGTTTAATTTAATTATTTACTACCACTTCCACAAAAGTTGTGCAATAATAATCCTAACATGTGATACAAAAAATGCACTCTATTAATTAAAAGAAGGGAAGATTGTTGAAGTAAAAAACAAACAAAAAACTGTAAACATCTGATGTTGGATATGTTCACCTGTTTTAACATACAGAGAATGTCATTCGTTTCTAGAAAAGGCTGCATAAGATATTTCCCTTTCTGGAGTCTGCAGTACATAGAAATCCCAGTTGCTCCTGTGAGTCCACCTGTTTCATAGCCATGAGCGGTCCATTGATAAGAGTAATGAAAATCATTTTTCTGTCATTTGGAGACACAGCTGACCAAAGTATATCTTGTATGGCATCACTTAATGTAATGTTTTAATCATAAGCTTGATTTGAAAGCCCATTTTCAAAATTGGCATCCATTAAAAGTTCTTAAAAGCCAAAAGAAATAGGTTGTTATTGTGATGACAGTAAAAAATCAGTCTGGCAGTAACAGCACGTGTCTGTAACTAGCTTTATCTTTTCAAAGAGCACATGATTTGTTACATGTGCATACTATTCAATAGAAACAGGTTTGGCCCGACAGCCAAGGCACCACTGATGAATGTAAATAACTTATGATGTTCATGAGATCTCAATGCTCTTCTCTTTTTTTTTTACTTTTTGAATGGTTAACAAAACACCTGACTGAAATGTATTCAAACTCTGAACCCTGGGACACGATTCTCAGATGAGGGCTATCTACACGCTTTCATAAAGCTACTGTTTCCAACACTATTGTTTCTTTCACTCTCTGGGCAGATCACGAAATACTGCACATTCTTCAACCTCTGTTTGTTCCTTCTGATATGTTGACATACCTGTCATAGATACACTTATGTAAAAAGAAATATCTACATGTCTATCAAAGCTTTCTTTTGATACTGAAGGTCTTTGTCCTCTACTTGACTTGTATCAGTTTAACACGAGTTGCACTTTTGATTCATTTTGTAGCAGTGTTTTTGGTCTGTGGTGGTGTAATGTTGTTTTCTATTTAAGAAAAATGTTTATTCAGGGTGTTTTGAGAAGGCTGTTGTTGTGGCTGCTGAAGCATGTAGTCGTATTAAATATTCATACATCATCACTGCCATGCTCATTAATGACTGATGGAATTTAAGTGTGGGTAATCTCACCAGCACTGTGACCACTGATGACCTCTGGTCAGGCTGAGCCAAACAATGTATTTTTTTTAAAAGTGGGGGAATCAAGGAATGTAGGCTTCTGGTTTTATTTGATACAGAACTGGTACAATTTATCCACTTGTGCACTTTGTTTGAGTCTAGCAGGAGATGTTTCTTGCATGTTATTTTTTTTTCAGTTTTTCCATTTTTCACTGTCACACCCTTAATTAATTAAAAAAAGAATTGATTTATAATTGTTCAATTTCCTCAGAACTGAAAAACATCACAAGTATCCTTAAACAAATGATGATAAAGACATGTTATCCTCTGAGTATGAAACATTATCTTACATCCTAGTGATTCTTGTTTTCTGCATTAGAACAGCTTGACTTATGAAGATAACAACTTAACTGTGAACGATGTGATTGTTGTTCTCTGCTGAATGTTTTTAAAACTGTGAATGTTGTTAAATAACGCTGCTGGCCATTACAGAGTGTGTGTAGGCTCTATTGTTTGTCGACCTTGTGTAATGTGTTTCCTGTAGGCCAATAAAAAGAACAATGTGGCACTAAACACTGCATGGAGAAATCATTGCATACATAAGAGATGATGCACACGTGTTCTGTCTATAACTTATTAAAATACATGGTTGCAGCATTTAATATATGTTGCATATTAAAAAAATAAAATAAATAATGAAAGCATTCAGGAGGGTCACATTCTACAATAAGCTCATTTGTTCAAGCATTAGTGGCTTTGCACTGATAAACAGATGGATTAGGATGCAATTCATGATAAAGCCTTTAGATAAACACTTCGTCTTTGTTAATATAACAGTTGTGGGAGAGACAGATACACCTGAAAGGACAACAGTATTGCATTTGTGCAGAACAAAGACCAAGTGACAAAGTTAAGTGCAAACATCACAATGTTAAGAGCACAACAATTACTTTTCTGAGGCACATGATGTCGATCATTTCCACTCCCTTTTTATTATACCATTTATGGAATTATGTGCATAATCACAGAGGAGTTGTTCTGATAAAACAACAAATTAAATTCTGAGTAACAAGCAAAATCTTTCTTTGTCAAGACATCATTAATCTCTTAAAACCCTAAAGATCCTAACAGAGATGAGGAGAAGAGGCCAAAGGTCCTAATAACCAGTGCCTTTATAATTTTCTCATTCACTACTTTGATTGGATTAAAGTGTTCACTTTTGTGTTCACTTTTAATATTTGCTTTTTTCTCTCCTGGCCTTTTTGTCCCAAATGTGTTGATCTTCTAAACTGTGTTCACAAAGCTCTTCAGAGTTCTAAAAGAAAAACTTAAATACCATCACACATGTGAAACAGAGACGGAGTCAGAGTCTGAGCTAATTTAGTGTGCGAGAGTGAATTGGAAGCAGCTTTGAATGGCAAGTTCAAATTTGTCAGTTCAAAACATAGGCTACATTTGGGGTTCTCCAAAATGTTATCAAAAAAACTAATTATTTTAAAAGAAGATTATGTACCAAACTACACGTGTCAAAATTCTATGCAAAGGCAGCACTGATTTTCTTTTTTTGTTTGTTTTTTAAAGATTTATTTTTGGGCTTTTGTGCCTTTATTTGAGAGATAGGACAGTGGATAGAGAGAATGGGGAATGTCATGCGGGAAAGGAGCCACAGGTTGGATTCGAACCTTTGCCACCCGCTTGGAGGACTACAGCCTACATACATGGGGCGCCCCAGTGATAGTGATTTATTAACTCTTTGAACAGAAGAAAACTTCACACATTTTTACCAGTGTATCAATGTTAACCTGTCCAAATGGGGGAAATCCATTTAAGGAGAATATATCACATCATGGTGTCTCACATTTCTTTGACTTCTCTTTTTTCGGGGGCTCTGGTCTTAAAAGATATCTCGAACCCTCTACTGTTATTGTTTCTTTACTTTACTGCTCTCCCTCCATGGACCATTGTGCTAAGAGAGATGAATGTCTTTTTACTCTGAATGACATAATTGCTCCTAGAGGACCTCTCAGGGAGAAGCAGAGCCAGGACTTTAACTGAATTAATCAGGTTGGTGATGGATGCCTCTACTTTAACCTTGCTTATGCTTTTAATGTATACTCTGAAAGAATGGGCTTGGTCTTTGTGTGGAGACTGCTGAGGGTATAAAGGCATCCACAGCTGCTGTGGTTTCTGTGGTTGACTTAGTGTATCCCGAGGTCAGGTAAACAACTAGGAGGGGTCAAAAGAGAAGATCCTGCAGCATCCCTGAAAACAATTATTGTTTTTGGAATAGTTGTGGAAGGAGGGTTTGGCTGTATGTCCTTGTGCCATTCTTCTATTATGCCCTAAAACATAGCAGGTGGTAAGTGGTGTTGCATTCAGATGCTCCCACTGAAAGACAACGAGGTGAATGGAAAAACAACATCATCAAAAGTGAATAGTATATATAAAAGGATGTGTGGTGTTGTGCACTCAGTGTTCACTGTAATAATCTGCTTTGGTGGCTGTATATTCTGATTGTTGCCTCAGGTTCATATTGATTATTCCCTAAGAGTAGCACATTGCTTGTGACTTTTGACCCTTATCACACTATTGTGGAGGTTTATTCTGATGCAGACAAATATTCATAACATTTTACTGCTTAATGGCAAAGGATACATGTTATACTATTCATTATATATATATACAACAGAGCTGCAATCAACTTGATACAATATGTAGGCAACATTGCAGTAGTACAGTGAAGACTCAATACACAAGCTGTGAGTCGCAGCAGTTGCATTAAAGTTTTGGTCACCTTCTTAGCAGCACCACTGCTATTTTATACACATTTAGTACAATGTTGAAAACTATGTGTCAATGTTCAAAAGATACAGACAATAAACTAGATAAGAAAACTTACTCTGAGGCAGAAAACATGGCAATAAGAAAGCTGATTGGTAGGAAATGTAATATATTTTTAGAATCTGACTGGAAAAAACAATTGGCACAACTGGATTATATGGTGCAGTTGAAAGATTTTTCATTAAATTAAATTCTATAATTTATTGGCGAGCTAGTGATGTGGCTGATTAAACAACTTCCTATGTATCGTTTTGATGTGTTTTCATGACAGCAATAAAAACGCTGAGAAATAACACCATGACAAATATTCAGAACCACAACTGAGGTGTGTGTGTGTGTGTGTGTGTGTGTGTGTGTGTCTTTTTTATGACCTTGCTTCATTTTATATCATGATACAAGCAAAACCAAACAAATAGGCAATGTAGACTCTAGCCAGAAGGGGTTCACTGTCTCATTATCATCGACACTTTATAATATATCGTATCATATTTCAAAACAAACATTTTATATTAGCACGTCAGTATACACTCTAACACAGTCTAACTACTTTGCTTCTCACAGAAAACACAACAGAAAGACATCAAATCCAAAACCCTGGTTTGTTTCCATGGTGACATTGTTGCTTGTCGATGTTCGCAACTTATCCTGGAAGTGACATTTTTATTGGTGTGAAATTAACACCTAAAATCATTAAAATTCATCTCTCTGTGTGTAAACAAGTTGACAATGTAATGCCACCCGGCACACTTCTAAATTCATTACTCTTTAAACAATTATTTCCCTTGGGTTTTCTGAAAAACCAATCGTCTCCGGCTCCATATTTGGACAGCTTCATGCACGGTCCCCTCTGTAAGCGGCCCAGTACAAATAGGTTTTAGTGCTGTCAAAGGACCTGAGATGCAATTCTGGCAAAAGATACAACAGCACTGTGAGCATCTCATTGCTAAAATCGGAATTCCCATATTCTAATACTGACAATGTCAAATTTATCAAGACCCTGTGATCAGCATGGTCAACAGCATGTTAGTGCTTACATCAACTTATTAGAAGGATCTCAAGGTCAAGCTCAGAATGAAGGGAACTTCATCATAGTTGGAATGAAATTTGATATCTGTATACCGGATGATGACAGCAGTTTAGTTTTCAGGAATAACCAAGGTTATTTAAATTCTTTCTGAGTGGTACGTGTATTTCATGGCAAGTAATCCAATACCTGTGGATATATTAACTTAAAGTCAACCAAAAGTGAGAAACTGTCAGCTTCAAATATGACCATACATTTAGTTTGTGCAACAGCCTATTACCCAGTTGTACTTTTATAGGTAGCAACACCAAGCAGCCATAGTTATATTGGGGGAAAACAGAAGTCAGGAGGGCTAGTACATAGTAGTATAAAGAGTCTCTGTAGGTCTAGGTGTTCAGACCACATGGATTGGTCAAACAAAGGATTTGGAACCCATACTCAACATTGACTTACTTTACCTTGCCATTTGTGTTCAGAATTGTTTACCATGGTTATTGTACATTAAACAAAATAGCTCACAATATGTTTTTCTAAAGTTTTTGTAATGGTTATAGGGACTGGTTACAGAGCTATTCCTGTGTGAGACATAGATCCCTTTGAAAGGCTGAACTTCATGACTATCTGCTTCAATACATCCAAATAAATAATTTATTGTAGCCTGTAATCAATGTGATGAACTAACTGACAGAAAGCTGCTAATGTTCCACGTATTGCACCGTTATAAAGAAAAGTATTTTTCATTTGCATCTTAAGCATTTGTTTTGTCTACTGTTCTTTTGTTGACTGTGCATCAACTGTATATAAATGACCAAGCATTCAATAATCCATCACCTCTCCTTGATTTATGCACCGTATTAACACTGTTTGTAATCAATAGCTCTTTCTGAACTCCATTTGCATGTTCATGTAGCTATTCCTGAAAGAAGTTAAAGACAAATTAAGGCAACATGTTGAAGAATGTAACCTGATGTTACTCTGAGCCCCATCTACCCCTTTGGCTGTTTACACTTACAGGGGAAATCTTATTTAAATTCAGTAACAAAAAGAATGGAAACATCATTAAATGTTGTGGTAAAAGCTCCCTGTTCACCATTTTACACAAACGCAGTAAAAGAAAGCTACATAACACACTAATAATGACTTCTTTTTACTACATACTCTCCAGGGAAACACTGCAATAAAGGCAGTAATACAGTTGCATGAAAAATATCACCCAGCATGCTCCAGCTTCAAATATTTTAACAGACCTTTATATTTGTTCCCCTCCCAAGCCCTCACAGTCTGCCACAGAGCAAAACTACTCATTGTTTCTCCTTTTTTCAGTCTGTTAAATGTTTAAATTGGCTGCCCAATAGTCCTTAGATTCTGATGTTTCTCATGCGGCTAGGTTCAGTAATGTGTCTCTTGGATGGCTCTGAAAATGACATGCATAGAATCCTGCTCTCATCTTGGTGCTGCAAGAGCTCTAAAGAGCCATATCCAACCACATAAATCTTTATAATAGCTCTCTGCCCAAATTTCTCATCTGACATCCTGTCTCTGCCTTTCTCACCACAGAACAGAAGAATTAAATAATAAATTCAATTACCTATCAGCTCTCTCAAAATGTGACCGCAACAGCAGCGTTATTTATTTTTTCATAGTCACACTATTCTGATAAAGAACGCATTTCTATGAAATACAATTAAAATAGTAT